GTGGAGACAGATGAAGTTGGTCAGTCTGTAGACTGCTGGCTAGTGAGACGGTCTGCTGAGCTTTATAGGGAGATCCAGTGGACTGAGCGGGCTGATACTAGAGCTTCACTCAGGGACCTGGAAGATGGAAGTCCAGCTTGGATAACACAGGTTGGGAGAACCTGTCCATGATGAGCAAGCATGAAGCGACAGTGGAGAGGAAAAACTCCCCATTGAGAAGAAACCTCTGGCAGAACCAGACTCAACGTGGCGGTCTTTTGCCGGACCGGTTGAGATGAGACAGGGAACGCAGTAAGAGTCCGGGAGGAATGAAACTCTGATGAAGGTTTAGCTACGATGGTGGAGGAGGGGCTGCAGGTGTTTTATAGTCTCTACACTCCATTCAACAATTAATCGATTACTAAATTAGTTGACGATTACTTCAATAATTGATTAATCATGATTTTTGTTTCAGCCCTATCTTTCTCAAAGACCTTAACCCCCAAATCAGTTTTGTTTTGCTAATAAATTGTATAATTTTTATATCCTGGTCATTATGTTAAAAATGTCCCTAACATTAGATATTGGGAAGCCAACCAGTTCTATTGCTATGGGATATAAAAACAGCCCTGCTGAATCAGCATGTACCCTGGTCTATCAGGAACCGCCTCCTTTAGGGGGCTATTTAATAAATAATAGATGTGAGGGGACTAAGGGTCTGGTAAGGAGGTTAGAAGATCTGTAACAAACAGAAGTGTCATATAATTTTTTGGGGGAAAACAGACTCAAACATCGACAATCAGTCGAGGAACCATAGTTTTGTTAGGAAAGCTTTAGAGTCTTAAATTCAAATCTCTGACAATTGAACTGTTTAATTTAAAGCATTCATTTGCATCTACAGTTGCATGAGGGCTCTTGTCCTCTGCCTTAGTCTCTAAAGGTTTTCTCTTAAGATAGAATCAATCTTCCCATCAACTCTGATCGGTTTTGTTTCTACCTAGAAATGTAGCCTATTGCTGCTGCTACCATGTTCCACTGTGGACAGTTGAGAACAAGTGTTGGTTTTCAACAAAACTAAATGTTTTCAGTCAAGACCCCTTTTTCCAACAAATGTTTTTTCCACTGCTACTGGAAAACTGTACATGGGATTTCTTAATATCCCTTGAAGGACAGGTTTGCCAAGTTTACCGTTAAAATACTGACATACCTTAACTGAGGATCTCTGCAGAGAGGGTAGATGGTCAACACGGATGGGCGGAGCTAAATGCAGGGGATCCAGTCAGAATGTTTTTGAGCTATTTTGCAGAGGGGTGATTTAAAATGTAGTTTTTATGTGCAAAGTTGGCAAGGCCTGTTAAATATGTATGCACTGTTAACAGAAGTTTTTAAAAGACTGTGCAGAGAGCCCATTATTCAGGGACCCCAGGTTGTAAAGATTTCTATTCCTGTGAAACGTTTTTTAAATCATCAAATCACAGAGGCTGTGGGAGATTATAGCTGGTCTCCTCAAAATCAACTTTCCAGGACGCCGTTTATTACTCTTTCATGGCCTTTTTATTAACCTGTGGACTTTAAACCACAGCACCTCAGACTGAAGCCGAAATAATGTCATGTTATTCATATCATCTAACATCAGCCTGACTTTTATTGCTATGCACTTGATATGAGTCAATAAAGCTTAAAATGTTCTCATAGAAGTAATTTCAAGTCCAGTCATTTTTTTTGCTATATTTACTGGCTGATATTTTCATTTCAAATCTAAAATCAAATGAAGTTGGATCCATACACTGGTGATAGTTAAAACATCACAAGAAGACAAATGGCAGATGAAATAAAATGAGCTGAATAGCTTTTCTCCTCCAAAATGTGACCTCCAGTCGAGAGCTGCAGGCTGTTCAGGAGATGTGCTGCGTGATTAAAATGAATGAGTGTGTGAAACAAATAAGAGAACCAAGGAAAAACAAGGACAGTGTGTGGCATGTACAGTACCAAGCTAGGAAAACGTTTTCTCATGAGACATATGGCTGCACCAGCTGGAGTTCTTATATTATTGCCATGATAAGTGGTTTTACTCCCAGCTTACTTACTGCTATAGATCGATTGTGTTCTTTTTCTTAACCTCTTGTGTTCGATTCTATTATTTTAGTTTATCATTAAGAGAAGATTTAACTTCTCATGTTTATACTTGAGCTCCATCATTAGCAGAAGCCAGAACACCAATTATTCACAGTTCATTTAAACTAAATTAGACCCCTAATTCTACTTTGTGTTACAACAGGAGGCAATTTTGGATCCAACAAATCTAAAAATGTCAAACACAATCACTACCTACAGCCACTGATGTGTGCTTTCAAGCCTTGTCACAATGTGACATTTTGTCTAAAGCAGGCAGTGCTGTTATGAAACAAATCTCTCATAGGGGAAGGAAATAAAATGTGCCAGAAGCATTACTTTAAATGTGGAGGCGAGCAGAAGGTCCAAGGAAAAGCCAGCAGCAGGTTCAAACACAGCTGGACAACGCCAACAAACCTGCAGCTTTAGACTAATAACACACTTTAAAGCAGACGTGGTTTAACAGATTCATGACGCCTACATAAAACAGCATTCCAGTGAAAGAATGATAAGTGATTCAACTCTTCACTTTCTTGCAGAAGTTTTTTTTTAAAAAAAAGAAGAGAAAACGAAGAACCAAACAATCCTCAATGTATTTCGCCTTAACTTATATCCTCAGATGGTTTTGTGTCAATTATATTTTCATATATTTTTAACAGTCTGGGAAAAAAAGAAATAAGCAGCTTACTGAAATCAACAGGGTGCAGTGCTGCTTCTGTGACAATAGAACTACAAAAATACTGCCAGCCTCAGAACAGGAAGCCGCTCGCTCTTATTGAATACAATGAAACTAATAATTTGGTAGATTTAGGTGTGAATCAAATATTAATTTATTTTTTCTGTATTCCAACAGCAGCTTAAATTTTAAATATTGTGAGAAGGAAGTTAGTAATCCTGACATCAATAGCCAAATTACAGTAGGATGATAAAGATTTCTTTCAAAGGTCTTTTATATATTTGCCTTCACTCCGGTCATAGATGGAAGACAAATGTGTAGGTAAGCCTGCAAACGAGACATTAAAAAAATAAAAATTAAGTACATTTAAAAAAACACAGATTTATATAATTTCTTTTAAACCATATAGTTTGGATGGCCCATTACTGTACTCCCATCTCTTCAGTTTGCCTCAGGTTTTATACAGAAGTTGGGTCTCTGGACATGGACATAGTTGAAGGTAATGAACCATTTCTGTTCATATTAAATTATCATTCTTCTGAAGAAAAAAAAACAAAAAAACAATGACAACAAATTTGTAGTATTTTGGTAGAGCTTGAATTTTGTAATTCTTTTATAATAAAAAGAAAATGATGACCCCATGCAGGCTAACAGGGTTACCAGAGGATCTGGAAGAAACAAAAAAAAGCCCTTAGCCTCACAACTTCTATGAGATATTCAACAATTTATTTGCTGTCTTATGCCAGGGGTACCCAATTAAAAATCAGCAGGGTCCGAATAAAGAAAATCAACAACCAGTAAAGGTCTGTTACTTTAAACAGAGTATAACATGAAATAAAATAGGACATTTTTCATTTTTTAAATCTAAAGTGTTTTTTGAAGTAGAGAATTGTCGTTCGGTATATAGACAATTTCCTGGTTCACATATTTTATAAAACATTTGAACTGAAGTTTTTTTTTTTAATGGCTTAATGAGAGCAGTGGGTTTTATGCTGCAAGGCTTTAAACCTGGGTTTGAATGACAATGAGGCCATTCTAAAGCACATATCATGGGGCTCATTTTGAGCCTGGATTGATTTAGTTTTGATTATGTTCATGGTGGAGAAATAAGTTCAGCCAAACATACTCATAATGTGCAGGGTCATCTTTGAGCACACCATTTTACTTTTCTGTCACCAGTTCACCGCAGTTCTTCCAGTAGTCCAAACTTTCTCTGCTTTCTTTTTCTCATCTTCTTCTCCTTCTCTCCCATCGCCCAGCTTGCCACAGGTTTGCCTGCTGTTTCTAAAAGTAGCTAGCAGCAGTGACCCTGACTGACAGCTCACTGGTTAATTTGTATCACGTGTAGCCTGGTCCCAGGCGCTCTGGAAGGCTTTACCATACAAACAGGCGAAGCACCAATACTGCGTCCGGTGGCTTCACTCCACCCCATACTACCAATGGGGTAGAGTGAAGAATAGAAATCAGTGGTACAAAGGCTCCCCTTGCAAAAAAGCATCAACACACTGACATGTCCTTAAAAAGATGACTCTATTTGTACTGAAATCCTGCTGATATAAAATAATAAGTGCCAAAATGGCAAAGGGGTGAAATGTCCAGCAACTGGTTGGCATGTTGATGGTGTTAATGGGTCATAATGGTGATAAGGTGAGCAAAGAGATACATTAGGTGAAGTATAGAATAGAATAGAAAATCCCTTTATTGTCCCACGATGGGGAAGTTGTGGTGTTAGAAATGAGCTCATTTTTATTCTTCCATTTTTTCTTTGATGGAGAGATAAATGTATCAATAATTGCTCTTCTTGAAGATTTATTTCAAAGATTTTTAAAAGGGGTGCAATCTTACATAGGGTTTTACAAGAAAAATGAAAAACAATAAAGATGAAAAAGAAATCAAAAGAAACAATGGTAACTTTCCTGTTTCATGAAATAACCCAGCTACTCCGAGGTTATGTTTTTATGTCAGATCTAGTTTCAGAGGATGGTTTGTCGGCTGAACAGGTCGAGCGTCACAGCAGAGAGGAAGGCAGGAATGCTTTTCTGGGTGTGCAGATGAAGGGTCACCATCTCTTCCAGAGTTTTGGAGAACTCCGTTTCCATGAGCTGCATGCTTCCATTGGATCCCTGCATCAACAAAACCCAACAAAACATCCAACAATTAGGCATCTGTTTCCACCAAAACTTAAAATCAAGCAAGATCACCTGAAGCTGTGCTTGTCTAAGGGGAGCTGTTAAATGTGTTTCTTTGTTGTGTTGTGTGTGTACACAACCACAGCAGGGGACGGGTGTCTAAATCTGTGTGGATTAATTAAAAGGAATGAGGAGCAGCTTGGGGCGATGGAGTGAAGGAGGAAGGGATGAAGGAAACAGGGGAGATAAAGTAATTAAAGCAATGCAGGGAGGGAGGAAAGGTAGTGAGGAGCAAAGTCCCATGACATACTGAGAACATATTGAGATATCTGAGGGATCTCCTGCTTCAGCACGATTCAGAGACAGAGTTTAATTATCAAGGAGAACAGCAGGTCGTGAGAAAATACAGAGGAAGTGATCCACAGACCAGAGCAAAAGAAAAGCAGCAGATGTGACAGAGAGAGGACACGCAATCAGTAAACGTCTACCTGTTGTTATGGGAGAGGGGTTTCAAACAGAGCAACCTTTTTAAAAAAAAAAACATTTGATTTTACATTTCACTCTGCCTTACCATTAGAAATTTGTTCTGAGTTGAAGTGCAGGAAGCTGAAACAGAGAACTCAGCTGAGCCCATCGCAAACCTCTAATGGATGAGAGGACGGGATTCTTGAACTAATGGCATTTGCTAGCTGAGTGCACAGTGGTGAACTGGGTATGGAAATGCGGTGTGGAAAGTGCTTAAAAGGCACCGACTGTCAACTTTCTGACTCAACTGTTTTTCCCCACCATTTTGTAAAAAATTGACAAAAAGGGAAATAAATAGCCTCCACTTGAAGGCAGCATGAGGAAATTGTCCTGAAGACTTATGGTGCAAGTTTAATTACCTTTTAGCCAAGATGATTAATTATAAATGAGACTTAGTGTCTTATTACAGAGAACTTTAACAAATCAATTTTTTGAGCTTGAAAATTAAATGTGCAATTAATTTATTACACTATTAATTGGGTATTCAGTTTTTAACCCTTTATTTTTCTTTTCTTTTTTTTTTTTTTTTGCATTAAACATTTGGAGGTTAAATCCAATGAAAAGAATCTGACGTCTCAAAGTGACAAAATTTGACCTGCTTTGGATTATCAAAGGAGGGAAGTGTGGTCTGTGTCTCGCTTGCACTGGAAATGAATAAATGTTTAAAACATTTTAAGAGGTGGATTCAAAGCAGCAACAGAGCATTATGATGTTCTTTAACTTAAAAGAGTTTTTTTTTCTGCAGCACAAAAGCATCAATGCCATGGAGGGGATCACCTCAGGGTCCTTTAATAGCAGCTTTCATTGGGTTTTGTGTCTTTCATCTTTCTCTTGATGATATTTTACAGACTCTGTGGATTTGGTCAGTGCAGGAAGCAGCTAGGTCCTAGCCCGTCTGCCCAGCCAGACTGATTTGCTGTATTAACGCTGCATCAGTCTGGTAAAGAGCTGGTAGAGATAGATTTTAAAGGCACGACTAAGAGGGTCAGCCTGATCAGGTTTAAACAGATACAACTATAACAACCGTATGGATGTGATGCAAAACTATTTTTTTTAAAGAAAAGCTCTAACAGCAGCGATTTAAACAGTTTATTTTTATAAAGCGCAATATTAAATA